TTTTGCACGTTTAAGTTACCAGGCAATACATGGCTTTGATTCTGAGGTCCCAACTTTTCATATATGATTATTTATCTGTTCAAAGCTGGAAGCCACATAAAGATTACATTTTTTTTTTTTTTTTTTTTTTACATTTATAATGTATTTCATTGCTACAAACTTTGAGATCAAGAGCCATTATGCCATATAAACTGCACAATCTGAAATTTTGGTAATGTAACGTAATTCTTTTTCAATCTGTTAGCACAGCAGAGCACGTCTTTGACATTATGGTTGAGGCACCATTCCTGTTTGTGCAATTAGCGTTTTAAAAAAATGGAGTTAAAATTTTCTATTGTAATGTTTAGTTCCTTCTCTTCTTGGTCGAGAATATCTGAATTGGTTGTTCGTTGTTCAATAATTTTTGTTTGGGAACTTTTATAGATTTTTAGCAAAGAGGAGTCGGTGATTTCACACGTTAATTGTAATTGGAATTTAATCCCCTCCTACATTTTGCAATAGACTATCCGACCCAAGTATGTTAAGCTACTGAGCCTGAACCTGAGGTGGTGCGAGTCATTGACACATAACACCCGTTACTTCCATCCAGAAAATCATTCATTAATTACCTATTTTCGAAAACAAATTAAATTGGGTAATTACCTGTTAATTTAGATTAAAAAGATGAAGCTTCATACAACACAATATTTGTGTGTAACTGATGTATATAGGTCGTGAAGGCATAATTAGTCAAGGTTCCATGTATAGGCCAACCCTCGATGTCCTAGGTGAGATGTTGTAACTTATTGCAGAGTGATTCCAAGGCAATTAGCTACTTTATTCAGAAATTACAATTACAACTTCACTTCTTACAAGAGATCTTTTGCACAAGATCTCTCTATGATTGATTGATTTGATACCTCTGCAGCAAATGTCTAAACGATCTTGTCAATCTATTTTTCAAAGGTCAAACCTAGGCTAAGAGTGTTTACTTTTCAGAAACATTAAATGCTTCTTAATCTATAATTGATGGAGTAACACCTTGAAAAAGACGAATCTCAGTTATCGGGAAGAGGCCACGTGTTTTTTTCATCCAATGATAAGCATTCCTCATCTCCTACTATAAAAGCTCACACTTTATGCCATTTAAAGGTAATGCAATTTTATTTTATACACTCAATGTAACATTACTCTCTCATTTTGTTATCTAGCAAACCTTTGTGCCTGAACACTATTGTGGCTTACCTCTTCAACACATTCCACACCGAAATATACTATACAAGTTGATTGACTTGTCCGTTAGATTACGTGTGGCCACCTTTCCTACCTTCAAAAAAGGCCACATGTTCTTAACGATTTGTACAAATGTCCAAGAGTTTAGTTATGTAAACGTAAGCGAAGTCAAGATTTGTTGGCCACATCATTTGTGTAGAAACCGAGGTCAACAAATTGATATCTTATGTAGGAAGCCACAATACTAATCATGAGCAAACCCCATAAAAAAACCTTATCGAAGAGTGCTTCCACTCTTCTCATGAAAGAGGAACAGCCACATTACTAACCATGAGCAAACCCATGAAAAAAGCATATCAGAAAGTGCTTTTACTTCCCTCATGAAAAATGTTTTGTTCTTAAACAAAGAACAAGTAGAAGTTTCAAAGGAAGGAGGTTTTATGTGTTTTCGTTCTTGGGTGTTTTAAGTTTTTCTTTAAAAAAAAAAAAAAAAAAAGGATTTGAAGGGAAAAATCTGCTCGAAAGACCACCCTCTCTTTAAATCAAAGAGATGTCCATCCACCATGAGTGCATGTGAAGGAGATAGAAATTCAAGGAAAACAAAGGAGGTCTTTAAAGAAAAGGCCATCCAAACTCATGTAACCCATCGTTGACCTCTCCATCGCAGAGGTGGAAAGGTCGCAGCTCACTTCACCTAAGACGTGGCAGAATTGGCTGCATACAAGAGAAATATTACAGAGATGAAGAGAAGGTACAAAGTGATAAGGCCCAATCCCAAAGGCATAAAAGAGGTGCCAACCATATTGAAAGGGGGGTAGGAATGGATGTGTCTACGAATTATGCATCTAGCTGACCTTAGAATAACCCATTCAACAGAAAGGACAATTTTCCTCCGATTTACGAACGAGAGCACAGACCTGAAAGGTCCACCAACGTTTTTGATGTGTTAGAACTGATATACCTAGAAATAGGCCACAATAGAAGTCCCATATTCAGACCTCATGAGCAAAAGCAAGGGAATATGTTCTAAAATGACCCATAGCCTAAAAATAGGCAAAAATGAAGGTCGACAAAGGCTATAAGAAAGCTTGCAAAGACCTCTCAACAGCTTTGCTCTCAAGCTAATGAAGAAAATTTAATGGACTATGCAAGTCCCAGGAAATTGAAGATGACGATGACAACATCCTATTCTCTAAGGAGCTTTGGAGTGATTATGTTCCAAGCCACTTTGTGTCCTTAAAATACATTTGAGGGAAGAGGTGACTCAAAGGAACACCTCAACACTTACAAAACTCATATGAGCTTGAGAGGGGCTTCTCCAATGTTATGGTATAGAGCTTTCCACTTGATCGTTTGCGAGACAGCTAAAAGGTGGTACAGTAAAATCCATCCTGAGACCATTAGGAGTTGGCAAAACCTCAAGAGCATATTCATCAACAATTTTCTATCCAAAAGAGAACGAGAGGCCCTAGATTAGCACATGTAAGACACGAGGCAAGAAGTCGGTGAAACGCTGAAAAGCTACCTAGCCTACTTCACCGATAAAATGATCTATTGTGAGAAGATCTCCAATGTGAAAGCTCTCTTCACCCTGAAAAGAAGCCTCAACATGAACACTCTACTCTAAAGTAATGTTCTCAAAGAAATCCTACCACATATGACCAACTGGTAGGTTGATAAGGAAAGATATCATCAATAAAGAGATGATAAAGCCTTGCAACAGGGTAGCCAATGAACTCCCTCCGCCTCAAAGACAAAGAGGTTGAGGCCTCATCTCCCATTTGATAAATCAAAGAAAGAACCAAGCAAAGCATCATATTGTTTCAACATCAAGCTAGGCATATGCCTCCGCCACATTAAAGTGTGCTAGCCATAGCCTATGATGAAGTTAAGCCTAGTGTTATGGGAACCAATGAGCTCTTTCCCAACAACTAGTCGTACAAAGAGCCAGAGGCAATAGGCTTAGGAGGCCCTATCTGGATACCAAACCCTTCTGTACTTATCATCAATCACATGTTCATAATACTAATGAATGCAAGGATGTGGTACCCATCATGGAGCATTGGCAAAACCTTGAATATATGCATTGATGACATGCTCATCAAGAGCCGCAGGGCAAAGGACTATGTCAAACATCTAGACTTTCCAAATTCTTGGGAGATACAGAATGAGGTTACAATTATGTCAATATAGTCTAAAAGAAATTTTAAATGCTCTATCTAGATTGTTACTTATTCTTGAAAATCACATTAGTGCATGTGAAAATTATACAAAACAATAAATTAATCATATGATGCAGTCAAACACAAGGCACCAAACTTGATTTAGTTCATATTTCAAAAAGTTGATAAAATTCAAATTGAAATCAATAATTAAATTTAATCACATTTAATCGGTGATGAAGCTAAACATTCTTCATTATGGAGTAAAAAATTAAATTAGAAATTATTTCAAAGAACATAAAATTAATGAAAATAATTCAATATATTACTACTGTCCATGAGAGAACCAAGTTTTTTATTTTTTATTCTACTCAATACTAATGATTCCTGTAACACGATAAATGAAATCATTAATTTTTTCCAAGATGAATGGAAAACAAGATTAAAACTTAATAATAGTTAAAAAATAACTTTTGAAAATAAAATAACCATTCGTTAAAAAATAGCCCAACGACTATTGAAAACGTCTTTTAAAGTATGGCTATTGTTTAGAAAATCAATGACAACTAGAAAATAATGTTGAAAGTATAGTGATCATTGACCAATAAAATCTTTACCCTTAGGTTAATCAAGAAAATTGAAAACATTCAATTTTTCTGTCCATTTAAATAGAAAATGATATATTTTAAGACTTTCAATCCTTTATCTTTTTCGAATCAGCTGCCGGTTGAATTTCTAAATTGGAAATATATTTATGTGGGATGAAGAGACCCACATGATACCACATAAATTCATAATGCATTTCATAGAGCCCACAATTTTTTTCAAATTTCCAGCCAGATAATTAATAAACGTTTATCAAAATTTACTAAAAATTTTAACTACAATAAGAGGGACTTAGGTAATTGTTAAAGAATCTTCGACGCCTATTCAAAATCAATGAGATCATTGATCTTCTTATTTTCTATCTTAATGTTTAGATTATGTCATAATTAAGTTAACTTGAAATTGATAAGATTTTTTTTTTTTTTTTTGACAGAATTTTGACACACAAAGGAAAAGCCTCCTTGTCTAGTCAGTTTATTAAATTAGTACCAACAGACTACATGCAACAAAATAGAGAAGTGCTATGTATATAGAAATTCTCTATTAGAATACACATGGCAGCATCCAGTTAAAGAATGGAAAAATAATAATAATAATAATAATAATAATAATAATAATAATAATAATAATAATAATAATAATAATAATAATAATAATAATAATAATAATAATAATAATAATAATAATAATAATAATAATAATAATAATAATAATAATAATAATAATAATAATAATAATAATAATAATAATAATAATAATAATAATAATAATAATAATAATAATAATAATAATAATAGCAAATTATTTTTGTGGCCCGTAAAGAAATAATATAAAAAAGTGAAAGCAAGTAAAGCACGTTTTGTAATTGTGGGTCCCTAGTATAAAGAATAATGCTATCCGCTATCTAACATCAGTTATATTGAATAACGGTCTAAGTATCAGTATGTCATAAGTGAAAGCAAATGAAACCAGTAAGTGATTTTGGGTTCCTAAAGATATACTATAAATAATAATGCTATCTGTCGCTACCACTACCACTATTAGTAAAATGAATTAAACATGTACATAGAAAACATATATACAATTGAAAATTTGAGTGAAGAAATACAGTCACATTACATGATATTGGATCAAGAGGTCCATCTAAAGCTCAGGCCACCACCAGGGTTCCAAATTTATGCACTTAAAAAGACTAAATAAACACCAACAAGGAGGGTAGGAAGGATAATTTCGAAAAAAATAAGTTATCCATCCGACCTCTACAACTTTCAATTTTATTATTACCATTTTGTCGTCCATACAGGTAATTAGCGCCAACAAGGAGAGAATGTCTGAGTGAACTCATTTCAGCTGCTGATATCAAAATATTTTGGATCTTCAGGGAAATGGTATTCAACCTTCAACTGCAATAAAATTAAGAAAGAATGTTAGCACACCAGATTGTGAACAGCAAATTCAGTCTCCTTTTCTTTTCTCTGAAAGGAGCAATTCAATTAATTGAAAAACTCGAGCAAATTCCACAATCATGCAAAAAAACTCCTTAAAAATGTGAAGATGGTTCATAACAAATCTAAGGTTATCAAAAACAAACAAATGAACTAGGTAGCTGGAACCATAAAATGCGTATTACTCAATTCTTTAGATCAGTTTGCAGGCGTTACTTTATAGGTATATGATGAGAATAATGCAGGTGAGAAAGCGTTGTGTTAGAAAATAAATTACTTGTTCTAGAGCTAATGACATTCTCATTGATAGTGAATTCTCAACTTTAAGCTTGTCAAGAGTAAAATCAAGTTAAAACTAAAATCATTAAAGTTTGTTCAATCTAATACCAAAAGGAGGTATCAAAGTATGTGACTGCTTTTATTGTAGAACTTCAGAAAGAACACCCACCCCACAAGGCATGGGGTGTCTTTCCTCTTTCCACTATGGGGGTAAATCAAAGGAATCATTCATCAACTAGATCTAATATATAGAAGAGAGAATTAGATAGTATTATACTGTATTAAGGACAAAAAATAAGCTACAATCTTACTTATTATACCATTTAGTTTGAATACCACCGTACCAAACATGTACCACAGGTTCTATAACCCAAGTATGGAATAGATTTCAAACACAAGGAAACAGTGAGGAATGAAACAAAGCAAATGTCAAAATGTCTGCAGCAACAAGGAAACGGAATATAGATTATCGAACGTTCAAAGAGAAATTACCAAATGTATTAACAAGTCTCAGGTCACAGGCAACGTAACAGGCAACGTAAATTTAAGGAGCTATATAATAATCTATATAACTTACCTTTCCCTCGTCAGCATCCGAATGTCGTTGGGGGAAAACAACTTTCAAATCATTATACAGGTAAAATCTCCGTTCCCCTAAATTGTCTATTCTGCTTTCTTTTGCTGATAAAGGATCTGATCTCTGGACTGACCTTGAAGATTTTTTTGGGGATAAACAAACAAATCTTAAGTGAAGAGCATAACGTAAAGCACCAACAGTAGTCGCATTTCTGTTGACCTTCGAACAAGAATGTTCGTGTTTTCTATCAGTTTCATCTAATGTGATCACCTGATCATTCCGACATAAATTATACCCACAAACTTGTCTTCCATTGTCTGGCAGGTCAATATGACTTCTCTTTAGGACTAAAGAAACCTTGTCCTCATCTTTTATATTGATACTTTTCAGCTCTCCTCTTCCATTTATAGAATTCAAGCCAGAGGAAGCAAGGGTGACCTTCTGACGCAAGAATGTCTGGTTTAGAAGGGCAAAACATTATCATTAAAACAACTCAGCACTATATATCAGTAGGGAGAAAATAATCATAAATCACCATGGAAGACATAGCTCCACAACACAAGCTGTAAGAAGATTTTTCTTTACCTTCTTTCGAATCCATCTCTGGGTGCATGAAATACTTTATCATATAAGTTAAAGGATGGTGATAAATAGTGCATTTTAACATGCTATACTGATACTCAGTATTCAAATTCGTTCTTTTGATCCACTAAAAACCATTTTTTCATTTGTTGTAGTTTCTAAAGGAAAAGGATGCTATATGTAACTCGGCCTCTATACCCAAACCATTAACTTACGTATTGTCAAGTTTCAATGGGTATCTGTCCACTTACCTCCTCACGGCTTTTTATCAAATCCTCTAGGATTTAAACTCAAGATCTCTACACCCAATTCATATTAGGATTCAATTTAAATCTCATTAGACAGAAATTATGGATTCAAATCCTGGGGGACGCGATGGAAAGCCGTGAAAGGGTAAGTGGACAAATGCCCACACAAAGCGGACAGTACGTAAGTTAACAGCTTTGGGATAAAATTCGAATAGTTACAAAAAAATGTTTGCCCACCCAAAACAGACAGTACATAAGTTAACATTTTGAGCATAGAGGTCGGGTCATTACAAAAAAATGCGCGTTTTGTATGTAACAACTCAACCTCTATACCCAAGCTGCCTCACAACTTTCTTTCATGTTTCCTAGGATTCAAACTCGAGACATCTGCCTAATGAGAGACTTAAGTTGAATCTTGATACCAATTCTATAGCGTCCTCCCAGGATTCGAACCCAAGACATTTGCTAATTAAAAACTTAAGTTGAATCGTGGTCTCTCATTAGGCAGAAAGGTATTGGGTTCGAATCCAAGGAACGCGATAGAGAGCCGTGAGGGATAAGTGGGCAGATGCCCACCCAAAGCGGACAATACATAAGTTAACAGCTTGGACATAGAGGTCGGGTCGTAACACTATCGATTTACCCAAAAATTGGCAAAAATACCCTCAGTTGACCTACACTATACAGCTGGAAAAGGAGACCTCCCGGAAAGTGATTTCACCGAATTAAGATGTTGGTACTTCCACAAAAACTAGATAAAGAAGAACTGACAACTCTTTTCCCAAATATCAATTGGCACTTGTGCAAATGTTTCATATTGTAAGTTCCTAAAAGACTAGATGGAAGGCAGAATAAGTGGACCCATACCCTCAGAGGTCACAGTGTTCACTGGTTGTTCTTGCAAAGAAAGCATTAGTATTGCATTTACCAATCTACCAGATAAACATTTTTTATGGTTCCATAAATTTGTAAGACTAATTACCTATCAAAAAAAAAAAGTAAGACTATCATAAGCCCAAGATACCAATTTTACTATACAAAATTATCCAAAAAGGAAGTCACTTCCTTGGGCATTAAATGGGAATTGCACGAACAGAAACATTATCAACATCTAAATAACTTCAAGAGCAGAAGCATTTCTTGACCTAACCTTGGTACCAGCTGGCATGTCGCTTAAGTCATAGTTACAGAAGTAGGTATGAAGGGGTGTCTTCTCAGGGTTGCTCAGGACCTATAAAATAATTCCAATTTTATCAGTTATTGACATTACCTAAATAAAGTTAAATGATAATTTTAAAATTGACCTATATAATCAACATAACAGTTCCAACAACTATCAATAGCTTTGTAGCACTGAATCAGTCTTCATGCCCTTGTCAACATATCTCAATCAATTGTCACAAAAAAGAAAACTATTTATGTGTTGATCATTGTAATATAATCCTTGCTAATGGATATTGGCTAATAGGAGTATATTGCCCCCTATTTCATTCTGTTGTCAGATTTGGAAGGATATACTGGACACCCTTCTGCATCTGAGAACTCCACTAATTATATCTAAAAAAATAAATTCACATGCCTTTTTTATGGAACACAAAATAGTTAGTAAATATTTGTAGGCACTCTGACAAAAACAACTGTACATATGTTGAAGCACGTAACAGAAACATGTGCAATTTTATAGAGATGATTGACAAAGGATACATCTACATAAAAAGAACATAAAATAAATATAAAACATTTAAATTATCAGGAACATGCATTTTGTGCTTCTTAAACATTTCCCAACGTTGAAACACTGCCATGGAAGAGTTTATAGTTTTATCCATGAAAGTATTTCTCTATTGCAAATTATATGAATACAACAGGCTTTCAGCAAAATGAACCATGGTGGTGTTAAAATGAGAAAAAGTTCAAATCCTCCTACTCCAGATTATAAATACCCAATGATCAGGTTTTAAAAGACTTTCTAATCAGATTGTTCATTCGTTTTGGATATAAAGTCTTGTTCAAAGCTGATATTAGGTAAGCAGCCATATCATGATTGCTTCAAATTAGGAGTAAACACTAGTGATAGGGCGTAATAGAGAGCGGGGGATGAATGATATGTGAAAAGCGCTATGCTCTAAAGTTTATACATTAGCTCCCAGGATGTAATATGTTCTTGAGAATTAGTCTCTCAAATTGAGTGATTTCGCCCATGGGTGAGTTAAGACTTGATCGACCCCAGACGAGTGAATTGTGCAAATGGTCACTGAACTTTGCAAAAGATTTTCAAGGGATCACTGAACTTTAAAAATCACCTAAATGGTCATTCAATTTGCAAAAGGTTTCTACGGGTCAATGAACTTAAAAAATCACATAAATAGTCACTGAATTTTGAAAAATGTTTCCCAAGGGAAACTTTTTGCAAAGTTCAATAACCCTATGAAAATCTTTTCTAAAATTCAGTGACCATTTAAGTTATTTTTAAAGTTCAGTGATCCCGTAGAAACTTTTTGCAAAGTTCAGTGATCATTTAGGTAATTTTTAAAGTTCAATAATTCAATAACCCCTTGAAATTTTTTTGCAAAATTTAGTGACCATTTGGATAATTCACTCATACTACCCACCTTGAAGAATAAAAAGTTCATAAAATTGGAGGACTTGCTGAAGTAGAAAAAAGCAATTAGATAACCCAGGTCATCCTGACATCCCTGGTACTGAAAGATAAGGTCAGCCCAGAGCTCGAAAACATTTAACTAGAAGAGACGCTAAGTACAGAAAAATAGCAACAATATTTAGCTGGGTTTTTTTTAAAAGGAGCCATATAAGTGCAGCAAAAAATCACACATCATGATGTATCAAAGTTGAATGCATTTTTAAAAGAACCTCAATCCTAAATCAGAAAACACAGATTATTTGAAAGGAGAACAGAAATATACCAACTGGATACGTCCTTTCATAGGAACACGCAGACGGTTCTTGCCAATTTGTGAATCCTCACAACCAAGGGCACTCTTCACATTTTCCCCTCTGTGCTTGTTTGATTGTGAATTCCTACAAAGATCAATAGATGCATAGTATAATAGATAGCTATCTCCATCAACACTGGTTACTGCAAATGGAAGTTTCTGTGGCTTTGGAGAAAAATTCCCTCCTATAATGTTTAGTATGGCAAGAAAACCATCTATGGCCTGCTTATTCAAATCAAAGAAATAATATTAGCAATTGAACCAAAATATGAAGACTATTGCAAATTTCTACTCTTACTTCAGCTTGGATAACTTCAGCCTAAAATATTTGGAAAAAGGGCAAAAAAACACAAGTCATGTAACGAAAAAGAAAACCTGACTGAGTTTTCCAGATGACAATCGCCCTGAAAAAAGTGACTCCTCAAATGACCCAACCAATGACCTTCTCACTGGACATCCCCTAAAACTTCTACCGAGCTTCATGCAACTGATACCAGTCCTTGAATTTCTACAGAAAGTTGAACTTATTCCAGTGTTATTTTCTTGGGATGAAGATTGGACATCTTTGTGAAGGTAATTAACATCTTCATACGATGTGCTTGCAACCCGAAATTCTTCTTCTTCAGAGGGAAAGATAATGCCAAAGCGTTTTTCCTCGGCGGAATAAGATATATTTTCTAAGATTTTAGTCTCTTTCCGGATATTCCTCCCACGGTCTGCAGATCTCATTCTATCAGAAAATTTTGGACCTAACGGAGACCGAGAGAGTGGGAGCAAGATTTGCTTTTTTAATGTTGGCCCAGAGAGTGATCTGCGCTCACTTGCTTCAATCAAAGGATCAAACCTAGATGAAGGTACACAGGTAAAGGGGTGCAGTTCTTTGTCCTCTAATAAAGGGCCATCTGTGAAAATTATGGCAGCTGATCTACTGTAGTTGTGCAACATATCAATCCGTTCTTTAAAGTTAGACACAGACCAAATTGGTGCTGTGGAGTGATTTTTACTACCAATATTTGCTTTTTTATTATCTTGCATCACAGAAATACCACATATTTCATCTTTCGCTTGAGAACTATGATGAAAGTTTCTGCTGCCAATATCTAAAAAATCACCCCTAAATTGCTCGGACAGGAGCATCCTATTCAATGGAGACAGCATTCGCTTCCTAACAAGGGATCCATTGGTCTCAGTATCATTCAATATGACACTGGCAGAAGCAGCATGAACATGACTCGCAGAGAGGGTATCTTTCTCATATTCAAAACCAACAATCCTAGAAATGGGAGCCTGAATATTACGTCTAGTTTTAGGAGTTGAGTCAACCACTTCGTTGATGCGAATATTTGACACAAGAAAATTGGGAGTATCATCCAATTGCTCTTTCTTTAACGCATCATCAGGAAATTTCGAAACCTCCAATGAGGTTTTCCATTGAAAATCACCTAAAGAAGAATATATCGAGTCCCCACATGTTTGGCTCGGAGATCCCATACGAATCCCATCCAAATCACACGTGCCGACACCACCAAACTGAGAGGCACTATAGACATATGTGTCAAGTGAGCCACTAACCTCGTCAGAGTTTTCACTGGATGAAAGTTGGGGCAATCCCATCAGTATTTCTCCACAAAACTCAACAATTTCTCACAGATTGTCTTCCTTCCTGTTGCTGTTTACAAATGGAGCTCAACTTTATTTGGTAATTAACATTCTCAGTCCAACAAAATAATCTTAACCCAGCTTCCCAATTCTCGATCCAAAAATAACTTAAAAAAAATTAAATTCAAATTCAAATTATAGGATAATCCGTTCAGAACAATAAAGAGTAGAATCCAACTAATTGAGTTCTCAGATCATTCCATCTGTTTAAAGAAATCATAGTCCCAGAATTTCAGTTACCAGTTATTCCATTTCTACTACAAACCAAAACCAAGCACATAACCCTGAGAACCAAATGTAGTGGTTGAAAAGCAAGTTCATGGCAACAGAGTCAAATTGAGTACCTGAAACAGAACAGAAAAACAGATGGAAGCTGGTTAGGATATACTCATATTTACATTAACACATACTTGTTACATAAGATTCCACATTTTCTAGAGACAATTATAGAATGTAATCCCATAGATTGCAATTTCCAGCAAATGCAGCGACTACACGCCAATTTTCAATTGAAGTGCAAATATAAGAAGCTAAAAGTCGTACAGATGCAAAATATAAAGCGGCGTATATACAAACAACAGACAATTTGACTATCAACTCTTAGATGAGAACGACGATGCCATTATCTCTTCCCCAATCCAACATTTAATTAAAAAGAGAAAAAAATTAAAAATATTTATTCAGAATCAATACTGCTTATAAATCCCCGATCTGTGTACAAAATCTCAACCAAAAGGGAAAAAAAAATGTATGCCATATTGAGTTATCCAACAAAAAAAGCAAGTCTACAAATGATGAATCGCCAACACCACCGAACAGAGAAACAGTTAACTTTTACGGCACACATTCACTATTGAAATATTTTCAATGAAAAAGAAATAGATAAGAAAAAGTAGAACAAATCGAATCATTTATCAAAATTTTAAGGTTCACCAACATATCATAAACGAAATAAAAATGGTTAAATCTACCGAATCAAACGCGCACCGATTCTGCATTTTTGGGGTCATGTTAATCCAAGATGAAGTTAAATAATTAATTAAAGTTAAAAATCAAAAGAAAATAACATCGTTTCATTTGTGAGTCAGGTTTTCCATTTTTGCGTCTTCTACTCTCATTATCTCTACCCTTTTTTTTCTCGTTTTATCCATCTGTATGTACACTCTCATTCATTTTAACGTTTCAAAATATTGAAGTTTGACCATTTAACTTATTAAAATGTTGAGCATTATTCATTGGATAATTATATATGTATCGAGGGAGTTATCGAATGGTGTCCCTCCTAGGGGTACTTTTAAGTTTGACCCAGTCAAAGGAGCTAAATTCCACTTTGACTTCCGAAATCATGAATATTATGATATTAGTCTCTTGTATAGTAAAATACAAAGATGCCCTTAAATGTTTGTACAATTACAAAATAATATATTGTTAAAAGGACTATACTACCCTTTTAGTTAATAATTGAAAACCAAACATTTTTCCACTGATAAAAACTTCAAAACGAGCTTCCAACATAGGAAAAACTTTTATCTTTTCATCTGCTTGAGCCTCAAAATCTAGAAAAACTTTGGAACGTTGAAGTTGGAAATTTTTTTCATATCAATTACTTCAAATCGGTAAGTACATTTACGCATGTTTAATTTCGTTTTCAGTAAATTAGTATACGTTTAAATAGAGAAATTTTATGTTGAGATTGATTTTTTTTAACAGATCTTACCTATCAAAAAAAATTAAACAAATGTATAACTTTAGAACGGTATTCTCCTGCGCCAAACTGAGTGTTTTGGCTTAACAAACAGCCAAACAGTCAGAAACAATCCGACTGCTTGGCTGTTAAACAGCCGACTGTGCGGCTGTTACGCACAGTCGGCTGTTTAACAGCCAATTAACCAACTGCAGCTGATTTTTGTTGGCCTTTTTCTTATAATTAATAAATGAAGTTGATTAAAACCATTTCCTCATGCGGATATGATAATCCCCGTGTGTTATTTCGGTGATTTCGAATTGAATGAAAATAATCGGTGGGAATGGAGATGGACGAGTAACATACGTGGTTGTATTGCAATTCCCGTAACAGAGAGTACACCATACTTAGAAATGTACCACGATTTGCAAAATAAGCTGAATGCCAATCAATCTCAATACAATATGCAATTGAGATATCTATTCAACGGTTATGGGAATTCATCCATTCCGATGTCACCGATATTCGTTACTAATGATACTGAATTGAATTATCTATTAGAATTGAATAAAATGCATCAGACTCCGACTGTTCTTGGTGTGACTTTAATTACGAAGGATGTTATCAAAAGTGAACGCGAAGATTCAGATAGGGCGGATAACAATGATCGAGGTTTTTGGGAGACAGTGGAGATAGTTCCTGCGGATGATGTGGGTATTCCTGAGACAGTTGCTTCTGATCGTGATGTTGCTGTTACGCTCAGAATTCCGTCGACAGTTGAAGACAATGAGAATATAAACGAGTTTACAAATGAGAATTTGATTGCTTTATCCCGACAGAGACACGAGCTTAGTGGGAGCTCACAGGTTGGAACAAGTGGACCGTCCTCCAATTCTTCCCGTGTGGCTCCCGATGATGAGGACTTGCCGGTCGAGCAACTGTTTGAAACCAAGAAAGATTTGCAGGAAGCTATGCACCGGCTGGCATTAAAATATAACTTTGAGTTGAAGGTAAAGAAATCAAACAAGTCATTGTTGACAGTTGCTTGCATCGAAGACAGTTGCAATTGGTCCTTGAAAGCAACTAAGATGGACACGAATGAGTACTTCGTGTTTCGCAAGTATTCACGGGAACATACTTGCGAAGTGGGAATTCTTCGAAACGATTACAGGCAAGCTCGAGCATGGTTTATTGGTCGACAGATAATGCACAAGTATCAGGATCTATGGACGATCTACAGACTTTCAAACATCATTAACGACGTCCGTCGAGAGTACGGAGTGGTCATGAGCTATCAAAAAGCGTAGAAGGCCAAAGAATGTGCGTTGGAGGATTTAATGGGATCGGTTGAAGAGAGCTATGCTAAATTGGCTAGGTATTGCCATAACATGGGGACAACTAATCCTGGCACAACATATTTTATTGAGACGGGGGGCGATTATTGTTTTAAGTATTTCTTCATGGCTCTCGGATAATGTATTCGGGGTTTTCGAAATGCAATGCGACTTGTAATTCTAGTTGATAGTACAACTCTGAAAGCTAAATATAAAGGCAAATTAATTATTACTACATGTCAAGATGCCAACATCCAAATTTACCCTATTGCATTCGGCATAGTTGACAGCGAGAATGATCTGTCCATGCGTTGGTTCTTTTCTAAACTGAGGGAAGTGATCGGGGAAGTCGAAGACCTTACCTTTGTAACCGATCGAGAACAGTCTATAATAAACGGTATCGCTGAAGTTTTTTCCGGAGCACATCACGGGTATTACATGTACCATATACAAGATAATTTGAAGATTAGGTATAGGGGCACAGGCATCGTTTCATTGTTCAGGAGAGCAGCTGAAGCTTACAGTGCTGAAGAGTGTAATAAGTTCATGCTCGAGATATGAAGTAAATCATTACCGGCGTTGGAGTATCTGACAAAGATGGGGATCAAACATTGGGCGCGGTTATACTTTCCAGGACGTCGATACAACATGATGACGTCGAATAACGCGGAGTCTCTCAATGCATTGTTTAAGAAGGATCGAGAGTTACCAATTCTCGCAATGATTGAGAACATTCGTAACAAGCTAAACAGTGGTTTCATAACCGACGTGCGGCATCACAGAGTTGCACTAGCGTGTTGGCCCCAGCTCAAGAGGAGAAACTGTTTAAGGCGGCAGAGGTTGCGAGGAAGTTGAATGTGAAAACACTAGATGAGTTTCGTTTCTCCGTGCAATGTGCACGTAATATGGCATATATGGTGGACTTGACTGATAACACATGCACTTGTACGAGATTTCAATTGGAGAGTTTTCCATGTGAGCATGCAGTTGCGGTGACCATGTATCGAGGCTTTGCTGCGAGAACGTTATGCTCTTTGTATTATACGACTGAGTCTAGTATTCCAACATCATGGGATAGATCGTCAACCCTCCCTGTAAACTCTCGTCCCATATCGTCGACCCTCCCTATCAAATAGTCAACCCTCCCTGCCAGATCATCGACCCTCCCTGTCAACTCTCGTCCCAGATCATCGACCCTCTCCGTCAAATCTCATCGTAGCGCGCTGACCTCCTCCGCTATAAATCCAGTCAAACGGGCATACAAATCATCACTGTGCCCCGGAGACACACTGCGGAGGTGTCTGGACGGAGGTGATGCCAATGGCGGAGGCGATGGCCCCAGAGGAGGTGATGCCACTAGCGGCGGTGATGCTCTCGACGGAGGTGATGCCAATGGCGGGGACGATACCCTCGGCGGAGGTGATGCCAATGGTGGCGGCGATGCCCTCGGTGAAAGTGATTGTCGATCAGCTGGACCACCCTCCTATACAAATAAAATGAAAAATTATTCAATAAATTTATACGTCGATGATATTCAATAAATTATATTTCATTCACATACCCAATCTCGATCCAAACTCGGATCAGACATCTCCTCGTCTGGGGTGTGCAGAATGCCTAAATCCCACACAAGACCCCGAGCCTCCTCTTCCATCGATGGCGTCAACTCAAGTATGACTTCAAGCTGACATATTGACATTTCAACTACTTAACGATCATGTAAACAAAATTTTAAATTACGTATAATATAAATCACAAATTCATAATACTTACCTGAGGATCGTCGAGGAGGGCCGATAACTGCTTCCCAGTGGGACATCCCTCCACTCGCGATGATCTCCAATGATGCATCCGAGGGCAGCGTGTCTCCCCTCGCTGCGCAAAGCGGGCCCCCAATACAGGAACTGTCTCATACACCCAAATCTGTAACACATACACTTATTAAGCATCAATGTAATACACTAAAACTTTAACTTTGATTATATTAAACATTTACCTGCACCGCTAAGGGCAATCCATATATATCGAATTTACGCATCGACCCCCTGGGCCTCGAGTGCGATCTGGTGAACACATGTACGATGTCTTCGTAGCATCTTCGGCCCCACGGATAGTTGTTGAACGCATTGATGTCGTCAACAACTTGCAAATGAAAAATGTCGAGGGCAGTCTTCTTGTGATGACACCTCATCACACTCTCGAGGATGTAGACCAGCCCAAGTTTCAATTTATCTAGCATATGGTCGCACCCCTTGATCGCGACCATCAAGTAGGGTAGAAGCACCGACCCATGTCCCTGGAAGTACGTTTCGTACAGCCTATTGCTTCTCTCCATGGCTGCATCGTCGCCCGTAATCCTCAGTCCAGTGATCAATGTAAACTCAAACATCGAGAAACTGACGACCTTGCCCCCGAGGTCGAACTGGAGGGAATCGCCGTCGACTGGCCTCAGAACCGACATAGAAGTGCATCAATGATCTGTCCTGAGTACTGCACCTCTCGCAACTGGTACAGTGGCCACAAGAAGGACTGTCGTAGCATATCTCCGTGCTGATCATCGAGCAGCTCCAACACAGCAGTAAAACTCTCAAAGCTACTGTTCCAAGTAGCTTTCCCCGACATCCGTCTCAACTCTGCATCTAAATGATACTCCATTCTGCAAAAATTTAAATGTTATAGCATTGAACAAGAGATAACAAAAGAAAGCATAATCTCACAAAATCAAGAGAACCGAACTCTAACTACCATACAATCACAAATATTACATTTGAAAAATATATTTACAAAAAACAACAAATCAAATTAAATGTATTGTCAAAAAAATTAAAGAATATAAATATTATTTAAATAAATTGAAAAAAAATCAAAGATTTTCATAAAAGAACAATAAAAGGAACAAAACAAATTGTTAATTTCGAACAATATTATGTATTCAA